GTATGGCGGCCACCATAAGGGCTTACAGTGTTCAATTCAATTGCCGCATGAACTAATCAGTAGATTATTGCGAGGGAATGCAAAAGAAAAAAAAATTCTCATTTCCCCAGGGCGGCTCTGTAGAATCCTGTCACTTTCTGTTTAATATTATGTATGTGTATATTATTAATATTATGTAATATTAATATTATGTATCTGTCTCATTGCCACTGGGGCAATGAGACAGAGTTCTTTTCTGTAGGCGGCACTGTTCTACAGAAGAAGTTGAACCTGAAAATTAGCAATAAAGTTAACACAGCTATCTGATGAATAGAAGTGTGGTTCATTGTGAACATGAATACTGAACAAGAAATCTCAACAAGTATTTACTTACTGGTGTTTGTTTTTGTTTATGTTGCAGAACCACAGTTAGCTCCTTACTTCAGACGGCTCTGACAGAGTTTGTGTAATTCCAAAGTGCTGCTGTTCCTCCTCCTACACATTGAACTAAACCATTGTTTTAATAATGGCAAGGGACCTAAAAATTCATCCTTATTTTTTCTTATATGAATGGTGGATTTATTTTGTTTGTTTCTTTTGCCTTTTCATATTGATATTGTTTAAATACTAAGGTTTCTTTAGTTATTTTTTGGGGGGAGGTGGGAGTGGCCAAATCTACACATTTCCAAGATTGGGGGGGATTTGACCCACCTGGGATTTCCTCCCAAAGATGTTAGAAGACAACTAGTGAGACTCCAAGGCTGCAGGCCTTGATGATGTACACCAAGGATGCCCAAAACCTGCGTTCTACAGGAGCTGTCCAACTCCAAATGAGCTGGAGAGCATGAGCCTTCAGAGGTCCCTGCGATGTGGAAAACATCCTGCATTGTTTCAGTGCAAAAGACGCAGCTTCCCTGTGTTTCCAAGGACAGCAGGTCTGTGGCACTGACCTCCCACATCATGGAGACCCTGGACAGACTTGTCCTGGAGTCGCTTTGGCTCCTGGTCCAACCACTTTTAGACCCCTTACAATTTGTCTACCAGCCCATACTTGTAGTTGAGGACACCACCATCTTCCTGCTCAAGCAAGTATAAACTCACCTGGACCAGATGTGGACCACCTGTAAGAATTATGTTTTTTGACTTCTCTGCAATCAGCACCATCTGTGGTGGTTCTTTGGTCTTTGTCAATGTGGCAAAAACCAAGGAGCTGGTGGTGAATCTGAGGAGGAGGACCAGGAAGTAGGTGACCCCTATTACCATCCAGGGAGTCAATGTGGACATTGTGGAGAATTATAAATGTCTGTGTAAGAGCCAAAAATGTCAGTTTGTAACATTATTGATTATTGTGTATGCTGTTTGCATATTTAGATATTTGATAATAAGATTCCATTTCCTTATGTTTTTTGTAGAAAAGCGCCACCTAATGGGCGTAATTGAAATTGTGTAAAAAGTGCTGTGTCACTTAGTTTTATGAAAGGAAGTTGAATGTGGCACATTCAACTAAGCTCTATACAGTTTTTTGACCGTTAAGTTACATTACTTTACATGTGGAATGCTGTGCAAGATTAAAGAATCATCTGTAACATCTGTTCAAAGACAAGTAAAGTTCGTCAGACTTGTATGGATGTTGTAAGTACTTCTTTAATTCACTGAAAGATGCACAAAGACATATCGTGGGACAGAAACGCGTCAACTGAGAGCTAAGCTAATGAAGGTCAACGACAGAAAACGGAAGCTTGTTAAACAATATAGTGGCTTACACTAAACGAATAAGCAGCCACTACAGTCCAAGACTCCACATTGACAATAAATTGGACTGTTAACACTGACACTTCATGCTGAAAGGGCCAAAGTCACCTGAGGAAACTTTGACTTTGTAGCCATTACAGAAATAATGGCTACAATCTGAGCATTGTCTACTCAGACTTGGGTAGACGATGCCTGAGTCTGAGTAACTTAAATCTAATTTTCTCTGCACTTATTTATATGTTATAGATTAACACTTGCATGTGCATCCTTATTTATTTATATTCAGTCATATAGAATTACTTACACTGTTAGGTGTATATATTATATAAACTCTCATGGCTGAAGGTCTAGATACCTCCTTACCCACAAAAAGCCTTAGGAAATGCCTCCATTCAGGGGCATCTCGTGTGGAAATGTTTTTTGTTTTTTTTCCCCCATGATTCAAAGTAAGAAATCTGCTCTGCTTCAATACTTTTTCAACAGTCCCTAGACAACGCTGTCTAGTTCTGCATGCTTTTCTTTAGAAACAAAGGCAAGGGAAACTGTTCAGTTTTTTGCTGCTCCTGTAGTCAGTGTATTTCAGCAAAACTTGTTTTTTGTCTTGATGTCACAGGAAGGACTTTGAGCAGCTGTTTGACGTCATCATCACAAACGCCCTGAAGCCTGGGTTCTTTTCCTTGATACCCCATCAGAGGCCCTTTAGGACCCTTAGTGAGTAGCAATGCATTCAGCCGTTTACCTGCACTCCAGTAACATTAACAGTCAGTTCATTCTTAACCCCTGTCAGAATAAAAAATTGTGAGTTGATGTCACTTTTCAACATGGAGAAAGTTTTATATTAGGAAATGGGACCATTGCAGGCCAGACATGAAGGATGGTGCTATTTCCTATAATATCGGCGATCTCACGTTTTTATTTTCTTTTGAAATCTGTGATATCTTCAACTTTAGGAAGGAGTTCCACTCTCATCATGTGTTTGGATGTCTCTTCTTTATTTACTTCAGCACAGCTCACAGTTCTTAACAATGGGCTCTTTGCACTTATGGCACTGACATCACATCTGCATGAGCAAATGGGGCTTTCTTGTTTCCGCTTTGAGTTACCATGACAGCTAGAAAAGACAAAGTCGTATTTCAGACACAAATAAAGCAATACTATGAACATTGTTGTCTTCCAAATATATTGGGCTTTTTAGTTTTCATGGATTTCCAAGCGATTCTGCATCAAGACAATGGTGGCTTGTAAATATTTGTCGCTACCAGTTAAAGCTAATGCAAAACAGCAAAGTCTACAGCNCTTGCTCTGGTAAAAACCATCGGCCCCAAACCCAAATGCCTGGTGGTCCTTCACCAGGCCCCTGCACTTATAGAAAGTGGACTGACCACATTACTTCCTGTAAAAATAAATAAAATCAACAATTATCAACCTACAAATAAACTCTGTAAATAATACAAAAAAATAGAAATTTAAGAATAAAGTAACAAAATTCAAATGGATGAAGAAAGAAAGAAAAAATAGCTCCAACAACTTCTATTCCGCCTTTTCTCCCTCTGTATGTCGGCATTACACACGGACCCGTTGCCATGGCAACCGACAAACAACAGCTCAACGAGCAGATAGAGCAGAGATTACCGATCAGGGGAATCAACACCAAAAAGCAAACATTTCCCACACAAAAAAGTAGCAAAAACACTAAAACAGAACATCCAGTCTGTTACATTATGTTGTCAGGCTTAATGTCTATATTGTGATTATTAATAAGTTTTCGCCTGAACACCGCGGTGGTTGATTAGCTGATTTAAACAGTTGCTCTACTGATGACTTGGGTTGTTTAGTGCTAACGGAACCAAAACACACCGAACTGCGCAGCACATGCTAAGGTTATCAAAGTCAATACCAGGCCAGCAACAGTTAGGCTAGAATAACTGACCCACTGCTCACTTGTTCAATGTTTTCTTTAAATTAAAACTTTTTCCACACCTGTGAAATCTGAAGCCCTTATTACCATTATCTATGATTGACTTAACTGCTAAACATTGCGTCCGTTGTTCTGATTCTTTGCGTGATTGTAGTATTTTCCTGACCACCGATATTTCTGACTCAATGGACAGAAACTGCGCATGTGTGACTTGCGATAAATCACGTAATGTCCAGTCCAGTAATATATATCAATGCTGCTGGCGCTCTGTCCTTCTCTCGCACTTCCCGCTACGTAGTAGTGGTTGTCAGGTTACAATGTGTTGCATTCAATGTTGTCGGAAAAAAGAGTTTCATGCGCTTAATGTCCGATTTGCCATAACTATTTATTGAATTCATTGTCGCTAGCTGGGGTGGCAACAAGGTGGCAAGGCTCTCGTTTAGGGTGGCAACTACCACCCCATGCCACCCCAGTAGATCCGCCCCTGTATATAGCTTAGTGTAGCTCATTGATATATTAATGTAGTAGCCATGTAGCCTGATGTAAAAACATTTTGCTAGACAATGTCAAACATTGAGACGTTTTAATTATCAAATGTTATCGCGCCATTTTGAAGCCAAAAACCCTCAGAAATATGCAGACCTAACCATGAGAATCAACTAATTTTGTTAGGATCTGTGTTTTCTGTGTAGTTTTTTAGGTTTTTCTGTTAGTCCAGTTTCCCCTGTGAATCTGTCTTCCCTGTTGATTGCTCCCAGCTGTATCCAGTTCCCTGATTACCTTCCCTGTGTATTTAACCCCACCTGTTGTCTTTGTCTGTGTCGGATCCTCGTCGTGTCGTATGTCGCCTGGTTCTCCGTGCTGTTCCGTTCCTTGGAGATCATCATTTTCACATACATCCTGGGTCTGCCTGTGTCCATATCCTCACCACAAACCATCGTTCATGACAAATTTAAAGTTAAAACTCAGCTTCACACAAATACAAACATTGTAGCATAAATGTTGGGCTGGACTGTTCAAGGTCGCTATTAAGCTAAGTTTCTATTAGTGGCTCCACAAATCTTTCTGATAAACAGAACATTATCAAGAAAAACATACCTTTATCTTGTCTTTATTCTATTCTCTCTCCTTTCCTTTTCTTCCTCTTTCTTTCCTCTCTCCCTGAAGGATAAGTCTTTTTTAGCGACATTGCTGCTCATTGCAGCTCATATTACGGTACAGTGCGGTACCGACCGCGGCCACCGGGGGGCCCCCCAAGAGCAATTTATTTTTTAATTTTCTTTTTTTCCATATAAGAAAGATTTCTACATACATTATCGAATATATATTATCGTAAAAAAAAATCACAATTTTATAATGAATTTGTGTGTTTTTGTTTATATAATGACATAAAAATCATTACTAAAAAAAAATCACTTCCACTTAGGGGGCCCTACTATTTGGACTATTTCTGAGTTATTGTCGCAGGATAAGAAGTCATAGACAGTTTTGATTGTGTCTCTTTTGTGCTGGAAGTCTGAACGGTTTAAAGGCTGTTTCCATGTGCAGATCCATCTCAACCTTACACAGACATAAACATGCAGTGCATAAATTGACTTTCAATCATTTTTTTTGCACCAAGAAGTTAATAATACACTTTTTATTATTATAAAACATGGCAGGTGGTAGAGGGCCGCACTGGGTTAACTTAGAGAATCTCATCTGTCCATGTATCAATCAACTCCTAACCTCTTCTTTGTTCTGTCACAATTTTCGATTTATTTTATTTTCATTGTCATGCTCCAAACTTTGCGAGGACTGACCACCCTGATCACCCGCTTTCTGATACACACAGAGCCACCGCACCAGCAACCTTCCTATTCATACTTAATGACAGTCACATCGACACACCCACCACCAGGTGTCGAAGCCGCTGCTCCTGTCATATCAGGAATAATTACTTAATAATTACTTATTTCATTCACACGGCTCTTACAGAGCCTCAGTGAAAATGTGTTTATTATTATTAACTCTTTGGTGCAAAAACTGATTGAAACTCTATTTAACTGGATGTTTATGTCTGGTAAGGCCAAGCTGGAACGGCACTGAAAGCAGCCCTGTAAACCATTCAGACTACAAACACAACAGAGACACAATCAAAACTGTCAGATGACCTGATAATAACTCAGAAATAATCCAAATAGTTTGGATGTATTTTTATTTCTTTCCTACCTATAGAACGTTTCTGTTTATATCATTTATATCATAGGTTTGTGGTGCCTTTCTATACTAAAGAAAAATATATAAAACGTCAGACATTTCACAATGCGATATTAACATTCATGGAAAAACCTTACATAACCTTATATTAAAGCATAAGTACGGCGGCCCCAAAGAAAGGCTTACAGTATCAATTATGTCGCATGAACTGATCAGTAGATTATTGCGAGGGAACGCAAAAGAAAACATTTTCCCCATGTCCCCTGGAGGGCTCCTTACTGAAATGATTGTCAGATAACACCTGAAAATAATTATTAGAACCAATTAAAAAGCATTCAAAAAAATCTAAATACTGTTAACATTGCAGCATTGGTGATGATGAGTTAGCATTTTAAAAGAACATAGTTCAATCTCTAAAGTTAATTGCAGAGATTAATCAGTGTGATTAATGAGCAAATGGGCATTTAGGCTGTATTAACATTCATTCAAAACCGGTCTATTTCCCTAAATATATGTTCATTATTTGGAGTTTCAGTCCGACTTTACTCCACACCTGATATTTGTCCATGTGATGTTACAGCTCAACCTAAAACACTGCAAGATGAATCGGCAGTCCCATTACATTTGATATATGAAGGAGATTGTGTTTGCCCAGAAACGCAGCAGAAGAATTAATTTTGAATTTGATGTATTGTGCTCCATTCTGATTTATTGTGCTCCATTCTGAGCATGTTTGATGCAGATTTGCTTTTCATGCTCCATGCAATGATCTAACAGTGTCAGTCATTCTCCTGAATTATGCTGTAAATATTTTGACATGCTTGCAGCTGTAAAGACAGCATGTGCATTGTGGGCCACAAACAAGTCAGCTGCTGTTCCTGCTGTCTGGCAGAAGTGCCATGACAGCAATTCCCCCACCTTCCCCTCCTTTTTCCCACCCACCTACCTCTTCCTTTCCCACCCAATATGCTGTGGACTATAGAGCTCCTTCTGTATGGGGAAACATCTTCAACACTACCTCAGCTACTTGTCAGGAAGCTATTCTCCTGGGGAAAGATGGAGGGATGGCTGTCATAGCTGCAGGCTGGAGAACACATGGCTGACATGTGGAAGGAATCTCCCATTTTCTGCCTGAATCCAACAGCCTTTGATAGAGGTTGTGATGCTGCTTGTTACAAACTGCATTTAAATATTTAAAGAGGTCGTCCCTGACTTTTGATGTGCAGCCTTTAATGCAAATCACGCAGGAAATCCAGCTCCTAGCAAGCTCCGCATTACTTTATTCTTCAAAGCCAACATTTTCTCTTCCCACTCTTTTTAGTAAATTGAAAAATGAACTCTTCAACCTCCCTTTGAGGTTTTTCCACCCCTGAGCAGAGCGGGGAGTCAGTCTCCACTACCTCAAACATGCGAAGCTGTATGAACTACTCTTTTGGGTAAGCATGCAAGTGTGGTTCCAGTGTACACACAAGAAAAAAGACCCTCACTGCACCACGCTTGTTTGCACTTCTCAGTTTAATAGTATCTTATTATTGCAATGTATTGGCAGTAATAAAATGCAGAGTCATGCTGGTTGGTATTATTGGAGTGTTTTGTTGTTTCTCTGTTATTTTATAACATAAGATTAATCTAATTAAAGAAAGGACCATATGCCAGATAATCTAGTGTTGAACCTACAAGATCTCTCTGGTTTCAAGGAAGCAAGCAAATATAAAACAAAGATTTATGTCTGTATATCATTTAATTCAGTTTTACTAAGAACATTTTCAAAAAATGTCTCCCTTTTGGGCATATTACATGTACCTAAAGAAATTACACAATAAAGACAATTGCCTACAGTCTTTGACAGATTGTGGATAAACCAACATTTTCTTCACTTGAATCAAAATAAAACTCTAATGAAATTGTTTGGACAAAAGAACCTTATTTCATCCAGTTCACCAGATCATACATATACTGAAATGTATAAGTATCTTCAAAACCCCTAAAGATTGCCTGGATTATCAGCTTAATGCTTTAAGATTGATAGCAAAGTAGTTTCCAACACTGGAGGCCTCACAAAATGTGTGACTTCCTTGCTCCTTTTTATCAATCTTCTATTAGGAATCTTGGTGTAATTTTTGACAGTTGTCTGAAATTGAATAAGCAGGTAAGTTCTGATGTGAAGTCTAGTATTTTTCATCCGTGGCTTCGAGCAAAGGTTAAATGTAGCTTCTGTATCAAAGACTTTGAGAAACGTATTCACGCCTTCATTACTACATCCTTAGATTACTGTAACTCATCATATAAAAATATGGACCAATCTTCTTTACATCTCTGTTGGGATCCGGGGGTTTTGTTAGTGTTTTTCCACCAGAGGGGGCCCTGAGGCTGTTCCATCTGAGGGCGTGTCGGCGTCTGCTGTTCAGCACACCTGACACCTATTCCGTCATCTGGAGGAGTATGACTGGAGGAAGCTGCCGACACAGCTCTGCTAGAGTGTTAGCCAGTAATGGTACAGGCTCAACCTAGTGCTCTCTCTGACCAAGTCCCATTTGTGTGATGATAATTTCCCTGTGTCTCATTCTCAGGTGTTTCCTGTGACGCCCTGGCATTACCTGGTTTAGCCAAAGCATTGGCTTTCAGAATCCGTTCCTTGAGACGTCGTGTCACCCACCAGATGACTGAGCCCTCTGAACCTCTCAGATGTTTACTTTCACTAGATCATCCAGTTGGCATTTCCCTTCCGAAGCAAAACTCCGTAAGCTCCAGATCCTACCTGTCCGCCCTCCAACACAGCCTCAGTCACCAGCCTCCACTGACGAAGCCCCGGAACCGCAGAAGCCCCCTCCCGGTCTGGAAGCTCAATCAAAGAAGTAAGCCTCACTGGATCATTCCACTCTGTAAAATCCCAGTCACCCTGAACTCACCATATCTGTCCTCCATAGACACCCGGCGCTCCTGTCAGACGCTTACCTGGACCAGACCCTCGTTTACTGTCATATTTGTCATCTTTGCAATAAACCTTTTAAATTTTCATGTCTCCAGAGTCGTGTTCTGCATGTCGGTTAGAAAACCTGATACCAACACGACAATCTCCAAGTGATTCAAAATGCCGCAGGTAGACTCTTAACTGGAACCTGGAAACGACAGCATTTAACACCAGCAGAGGCGCCACCAGGAATCTTGGGCCCCCTGACAAAAACTTTGTTTGGACCCCCACACAGCTGCTGTTACAGTTTTTTGAGTCTATTTGACCCATAAAAAGTGTCACAATTTTAAAGGCTTGCATCTGCCTTGCTTTCTTTGGTTCAATACTGATAATTAGCACAATATTTACTGCTCATGAATTTAACATCCAACAGTCCACATCCAGTATGTAACTAGGTTGCTTAAATTTTTTCTTAGTTTTAGATACTGAAAAGTCTCCCCATGAGCAACAGTCAAAAGCAACTTGCAAAATACACATAAAGCAATACAGACTTCTCAAAAATGTTATGTAGTTGCATTTTATTCAAGCTGCAGTACATAACTTTAATAAAAAATATGTTTTCTCCATATTTGTTAAAGCTGTTGGTTTGTTATGAGACAGATAATCTGTGAAAACAATNTCAGTTTGTAACATTATTGATTATTGTGTATGCTGTTTGCATATTTAGATATTTGATAATAAGATTCCATTTCCTTATGTTTTTTGTAGAAAAGCGCCACCTAATGGGCGGATTTGAAATTGTGTAAAAAGTGCTGTGTCACTTAGTTTTATGAAAGGAAGTTGAATGTGGTGCATTCAACTAAGCTCTATACAGTTTTTTGACCGTTAAGTTACATTACTTTACATGTGGAATGCTGTGCAAGATTAAAGAATCATCTGTAACATCTGCTCAAAGAAAAGTAAAGTTCGTCAGACTTTGTATGGATGTTGTAAGTACTTCTTTAATTCACTGAAAGATGCACAAAGACATATCGTGGGACAGAAACGCGTCAACTGAGAGCTAAGCTAATGAAGGTCAACGACAGAAAACGGAAGCTTGTTAAACAATATAGTGGCTTACACTAAACGAATAAGCAGCTACTACATAAGCCAAAAAACTGTTCATACGGGTGAAAAGACGGATGACATTGTGTTCTTATTGAAGCCGAAGAGCAACGTAATAACGACTTTTAAAAAGTGAAAAGGTCATAATGGCGGAGGAGTCAGACTTGAACGTTGCAGTGACCGAAGATGACCAAAAGAGGGCGCCAAAGCTCACAGAAAAGGCTCTGGATTCTAAACTCCACAAACTGATCAACGTAAGAAGATACAAATTTGGTCAGCTGACAGCTAAATCTAAGGAGATTGAAAGTTTACTGCAAAATGATGGAAGTTTGATCCAGATTGAAGAAGAACATTTACCATTATTTCAAACACTTCTTGAAGAGTTTAGTAAATCCAATCATGCAGTTTTGGAGATTCTTCATGAAGATGAACAACATGTTGACCAAGAATATTGGTTTCAGCCAAAATATGATCAGTTTAAGTCTATTTTGAAAAAAAAAACTGAAACATGGATTAAAGAACAGAAAAGGAAATCTACAGATGACCATCGGTTAGATGAAGAAGTGAGTCCTATGGACAGTGTATCTGTTGCTTCAGTGTCAAATAAAAGATCCAAAGTGACTGGATCGTTGGAATTAGAAGAGGCTAAATTAAAAGCTAAGAAAGAACAGTTAGATGTTGAAACTGCAATAGCAGAAGCTACTGCCAAGATAAAGGTTTATGAAGACTATGAAGCTCCAGTTAACAAAGATGGAACATTTGAAAGCAAAACCTTCACACAAAAAGGAAGGTGAAAACATGCATCATCCCCGCATGCCAAGAGATTTGCAACAACCAACTTCTCATGACGCTGTTTTTCAGTCAACCCAGCATGTCACTGATGTTCACTCATCTGAACTGTTACATGAAAACATACAGCAGAGTAATAATATAGAGGAACTTTGCAAAGTAATGCAAAAACAGAATGACATCACTGAACTTCTTGTTAAACAACAACAACTTTCTCAGATGCCTTCAGTTGATGTTCCTGTTTTTTATGGTGATCCATTGCATTTCCATTCCTTCATGAGAGCTTTCAATCATGCTATTGAAACAAGGACTGAGAACCCTGCTGATGAACTGTACTATTTAGAACAGTATACAAGAGGTGAAGTCAGAGATCTTGTTCGGAGCTGTCAACACATGCAGCCACACAGAAGTCTTCAAGAAGCAATGGGGCTACTACAAATCCAGTATGGAAATGAGATTCAGATTGCTTCAGCTTATATGGACAAAGCCTTACAGTGGCCTCAAATTAAGCCTGAAGATGGAAAGTCATTGAGTTCTTTTTCTTTTTTCCTCACCAGCTGTTGTAATGCTATGGAAGACATTGACTACTTGGATGAGATGGACAATCCTGTCAACATAAGAATCTTGACATCTAAACTACCATATAAGATTCGAGAAAAATGGAGAGCACATGCATTTGAACTACAAGAAAAATGTCAAAAAAAAAGAGCCAAATTCACAGACTTGGTGATTTTCATTGACAAACAAGCTCGGCTGATGACAGATCCATTGTTTGGAAGTATAAACCCGGATCAACCAGCTGAAAAACGAGAAAAAAGAAAGATACATACCAGAAGTGTGAAAGACAATGGCCACAAGAAAAGTAGCTTTGCAACAGACATTACCTGTAAAGAAGAAACTACAATTAAAGCTACTAAAGCTCAACCAGAAAGAGATACAAACAACACTGCCTTTTCAACTCCATGTCTGTTCTGTTAAAAGAATCACACATTTGAAATGTGTAGTACTTTCAGAGAAAAACCTCATAAAGAAAAGGTTGAATTTCTGAAGAAATGTGGACTTTGTTTCAGCTGTTTGGTCAGAGGACATCTTAATAAAGACTGCAAACGAAAGATGTCATGTCAGTTTTGTGCTCAAAAACATCCAAGTCTGCTTCATGTTTTAAGACTTGAAGAAATTAAACCTGAATCAACCAGTGATGAAAATGAACCACAGGTCTCAAGTGCTCTTGCCTCAGTGCTTAAGGAAAATGATTTGACTGGGGACAAAGATGGTATTCTTGCAATAGTACCTGTAAGAATCAAATCAAAGAAAAGTCCAAAAATGGTTGAAACTTATGCCTTTATTGACCCAGGGAGTTCTGGTAGTTTTTGTACCGAAGATTTAGCAAGACAGCTCAATCTCACAGGCAGAAAAACAAAGATTTTTCTTACAACTATGAATAAACAGTCCAGTGTTGGTAGCTACATGTTGACAGACCTGGAAGTGAGTGGTTTGGAAGGATGTATGTTTATCGACTTGCCAAAAGTATTCACACAAAAGGAGATACCAGTGAGCAAAGCAAACATCCCTCTACAGGGAGAACTGGATCAGTGGCCATATCTGAAAGATGTCAAATTCCCATGCATAAATGCTGATGGTGAGTCTTTTGATCGGAAACAATGCATACAAGGCCATGGGACCCTGGAAAGTGATAAACAGCCAGGACAACGGACCATATGCAGTGAGAACACCACTCGGTTGGATAATAAATGGACCCCTTAGAGAACCCAACGGAGCATGTTCTCAAATTGAAAAGCAACAACAGGTTACTGTCAACGGAGTCATTTTGCAAACAATAGAAGAACTCACAAGGCAACAATACAACCATGATTTCCCTGAAAGAAACTGTGACGACAAGTTGGAGATGTCTCATGAAGACAACCTGTTGGTTGTCTTCATGGAACAAGTAACTCGCTCATTGAGTTCAATAAATTGTCATTACTGTATGAAGCTTCCTGTCAAACATGAGCCTGTCGCAATGCCATGCAACAAAAAATTGGCTGAACAACGTGCACTTAATCTGAAGAGGAAATTTCAAAGAAACCCATCGTTCCATGATGAATACAAAACATTTATTTCAAACATGATGGAAATGGGCTATGCAGTACAAGTACCGGATCAACAACGCAACAGACAGGATGGAAGGGTTTGGTACATACCACATCATAGTGTGTACCACCCTCGTAAAAAGAAGTTGCGTGTAGTTTTCGATTGTGCTGCTTCATTCCAAGGAACTTCCCTGAATGATGTACTGCTACAAGGACCTGACCTTGCTAACTCCCTTATCGGTGTCCTCACTCAGTTCAGGCAGGGTCCTGTCGCAATGACAGCAGACATTCAAGCAATGTATCATCAAGTCAAGGTTGCAAATGAAGACACAGACCTTTTGAGGTTCTTGTGGTGGCCTGAAGGCGACTTCTCAAGATCCCTAGAAGAGTTTAAGATGGTTGTCCATCCATTTGGTGCCACATCTTCACCTAGCTGTGCCATGTTTGCACTAAGAAGAACAGCTGAGGATAATCAAAGCAAATCATCATCAGAAACAGTGGAAACTGTACTAAATAAATTTTATGTTGATGACTGCCTAAAGGCTGTGGACACCAATGCAAAGGCCATTGTTATGGTTGAAGAATTAACTGCATTGTGCGCCACAGGAGGGTTTCATCTTACTAAATGGGCAAGTAACAGCCGGGAGCTGTTGGCTACCATCCCCAAAGAAGAGAGAGCAAAGGAGTTCAAAGATCTGGACCTAAGTAATGATACATTACCTAAGGAAAGAGCACTGGGAGTTCAATGGTGTACCGAAAGTGATGCTTTCACATTTACCATCAATGTGAAAACCAGACCGATGACAAGATGAGGAGTTCTCTCAGTGGTGAGTTCAATTTATGATCCACTGGGTTTTCTAGCACCTGTCACTCTTCTCCCAAAAGCCCTTCTTCAACAAATGTGCAAGAACAAACTTGGATGGGATGAAGAAATACCTGAAGAATTTGCAAGAAACTGGAAAAAGTGGTTGCATGAGCTTGACTTGCTTTCAAGTTTCAGCATTAAGAGATGCATAAAACCACCTGAGTTCAAGTCTACCGTTACATCCAAACTCCATCACTTGCAAGTGAGTTGGGATACGGGACTGTCACATATCTGACCATAAAGAATGAAGAAGGAAAATTTCATTCTGCTTTCATCATCGGAAAGGCCCGTGTTGCACCAATAAAGCAGACTACAATACCAAGAATGGAACTTGCAGCTGCTGTCGTTGCTGTAAAAATGGACAAAATATTGAGGAAAGAAATGCAACTCAACTTAAAAGACTCACAGTTTTGGACTGACAGCACTACAGTGTTATCTTACATCTCATCTGAAACGCACAGATTCAAAACTTTTGTTGCAAATAGAGTTGCAATTATAAGGGAAAACACAAAGCCATCTCAATGGAGATATGTCAATCCTTCCCTCAATCCAGCAGACTGTGCATCACGTTGGTTGACAGCAGAACACTTTATAAAAAATGAAGAATGGATAAAAGGCCCAACATTTCTTCAAAGTCCAGAAGAGTCATGGCCTCAAGGTCATGAAAGTAAACCTGTGGACCATGATGATGCTGAGTTGAAGAAGAAACTAAACGTAAACTTAATATTGACAACAAGTGCTCCATGTGCTACAAACCAGCTGATTGAGTACTATTCCAGCTGGTACAAGTTAAAAAAGGCTGTAGCACGGATGCTAAGATAAAAAAAAAACTTGTTACAACTTAGCCAACAAAGACAAAGTCAACCAGCAACGCAGATACTGTCAAAAGGATGGATGAATACAAGACTAAAATGAAAATGAATCCAATGTCAGTACAAGACCTGCAAGATGCAGAAAGGACAGTTGTTCAGTATAGCCAACCCCAACAGTTTCCAGAAGAAATCTCATCTCTGCAAAGAGGCGTTTGCGTGAAAAGGAACAGTGAGATCTATAAATTAGATCCTCTCATTGTTGATTACACGCTGAGAGTTGGTGGCAGACTCTGCAATGCAGCCATGCCTGAAGAGGCTGTACATCCTGCCATTCTCTCAAAAGACATGCACATATCAAAACATCCTCAGGAATATTCATGAACGATCAGGACATAGTGGAAGAAACTATGTGCTTTCTCAATTACGACAGAAATATTGGATTCCCAAGGCACATTCATCAATAAGAAAATTGCTTTCAAACTGTACTAAATGTCGAAAGCTTCATGGAAAACCCGGAGAACAAAAAATGTCTGACTTACCACAAGATCGAGTTTTGCCTGATTCACCACCTTTCACTAATACAGGTGTCCATTTCTTTGGACCAATCGAAATAAAGAGAGGACGAAGTAATGTTAAAAGATACGGTGTCCTATTTACATGCCTTGCAATCAGAGCTGTGCATATAGAAGTGGCTCATTCACTGGACACAGACTCTTGTATAAATGCTATACGGAGATTTATGTGTCGAAGAGGACAAGTCCTGGTGCTTCGCTCAGACAACGGCACTAACTTTGTTGGTGCTGAAAAACAGTTGCGCGAGTCTATTCAGCAGTGGAACCAATCAAAAATTGAAGATACACTGAGACAAAATGAGATTCAGTGGATATTTAATCCACCAAGCGGCTCTCATTATGGTGGAGTTTGGGAGAGGCAGGTACGATCTGTGAAAAGAGTCCTGAGCTCTGTGCTGAAACAGCAGATGCTTGATGATGAAGGTCTCCAAACGGTGCTCTGTGAGGTTGAAGCTATCATTAATACAAGACCTATAACAAGTGTTTCGGATGATCCTAGTGACATTGAACCATTGACTCCTAACCATTTGTTATTACTGAAAAAACAACCTCTGTTACCAGCTGGACTATTTCAACAGGCAGCTCTCTATGTTTGCAGAAGATGGAGGCAGTCTCAGTACATTGCTGACCTATTTTGGAAACGGTGGATAAAAGAGCATCTTCCCACACTTCAAGAAGGTCAAAAGTGGTTTCAAATTAAAGAGAACCTTGCAATGGATGATGTGGTCCTAATCATGGATGAAACTGCTCCCAGGAATGCATGGGTCTTGGGAAGAGTCCTGAAAACTTTGCCAGATAAGAAGGGTCTTGTTCGTAAAGTTCTTGTGAAAACGATGACCAACACATTGGAAAGACCCATTGACAAGCTGTGCTTGATTCACAAAAAGGACATTGTATAAAGACATTCATGGCACCCCTGTTTTGAATATATTCTATATATGTTTGCTCTTGCTAAAGTTATGTTATATAATTGATATGTTTTCCTCCATATGCAATTATGGGGCCGGAAATGTAAGAGCCAAAAATGTCAGTTTGTAACATTATTGATTATTGNTTCATGCAATGCAATTGATCCTAGTTATCAGTCAGTGCATTAAGTTTAATCCAATACTCAAACTAAGCTTATTGCTTACTTTGAATATTTTCTGTCAAAGGAAATCAAGCATATTGTTCTGAATAACTGACTTGCAGTATTCCCTCCTCCGGAGCCAGCAGGGGGCGACAGTAGACAATCGTTTGCATCATGTTCAGAATGGCTTCGTGCAACTGGGAAAATGAAAGTAGTTTGAATCTACCTCAGCCACCAACCACTGGGGGGTTGAGGTACACCAGGAACATGTCACCAGTGAGTCACAGGACTAGCACAAACACTGAACTGCAGAGAAAAAAGAAAGGTACAGTAAGAGTCTTTTAGACTTTTAGCTTGAATAAAGGTTTCACTGTCCAAGGTTCAGCTGAGTTTTTTTTGTGCGAGCCTTTTATCTTTTGTGTTTATTTCATTCAAAATATAAAGATTAATCTGAGTTCATCTGAGCACTAAAGTGATATGTGTGTGTTTTGTTGCTTTGATTACCTGATGGTGGCTAAACTCCAGCTGGATTAGAGGTTTAGGATGAAGAGCTAAGTCGGTAGCAGGTAGGTGAACTCTTACAGAGCAATAGTAGAACTATTGTGGAGGAAAGCAAGATGATTTGGTAAATTATATGGTGGGAGAGTAAAACATTGGATTGCTTGAAGATCACTTTAAAACTCCAATCCATACCTTGAGGTGAGTTCCAGATGAGTTGCTCTGAAACACAAGGAGACAGCATGTAAATACTCTGAAATCTTTGCAAGAGAGGAACAAGATTAAAATAGGACAACCCTGCGATTGGCTTGAAGCCCCACTGGTCCTCCATGATGAGCGAATGATTTGCAGCTGGTGTCACAGCCTCACCATCAGAGATTATAGTGCAGGAGAGGAGAGAAAAACAACAAGGACTTAAAGATAAAAATTGTTTATATCAAAAATAATAAGAAATAATTCAATGGGAGCACTGGTTAAACATGCATTCTGAGATATTTGTTGTTCATTATTTATGCCCAGTCTGCTTTTGAGAACATATGGTCTCACTTAGTTTAAAACAAAGACACAAGAAACATGTTAAAAAGCTGTTTGTGAAGGGAAACTTGTAAATGCAACATTTGTTTCAAGGACAAAAATAAAAATATCCCAGCCCCAGAGTCATTATTTTCCTCATCATTATGGTTTCCAAGCGCTATGAAGAGCACTTCTGATTCTCAGCCCACATACTCATAACCAGTTACAATTAGAAATATATTGAAATTTCTATTTCTGCATCCAACAGGGATCAGCTGGCTCTTAGGAGCACTGAAAACCAGAGAGCCTTGTTTGCCAACTGCAGCCTGTCTCCATCTGAAGTTCTTCCACTGGGAACGCTAATCATAGCAGCAGACTCAGAAATCAGGGTCAGGAAATGTGTGATTCAATGGGGTGTTGGAGAGGCTTTTTAATAGGAGGCTCAGACAATCGGCTCATAAGATATCCTCGTCTGAGACTCTTTCACAGTGAAAAATCACATCTAACACGAGTTGGTACATGCTCATAAAACTTTGATTCCCTCTCTCCCGCTGCACCCATTGAAAATGTATCGATGGAAAGCTGCTAGCATTAAGATGTTAACATGCATTAACTGCTTTTTATTTTGTTTGTTTACATTTCAAAGGTATCTTAATATTTTTACTGTGAATTTCTTCAGCTACATCAGTGTGATGTTGCCACAGACCTAACTTTGCATCTACTTGAGACACTCTCCTCTTTTTAATCTTAAGGTGCATTTTTAAAGTTGTGATCAGTGACAGCAGTGGTTGCATCCAACTATTATTCCCAGAGACACATTCTGATGTCCAATAACCACAGAATAAAACAGTTCAACACAATTGTCATCCCTGGCAAATTTTCCATCCATTTTCTGTACACCCTTGTCTCTAGTGGGGTCAGGAGGGTTGCTGCTGCCTCTCCAG